AGCAAGGACACGTCGCATGAGGAAATGGTCAAGCTCTCTAGGCAAGTGAGGGAGGTGAACTGTTCTGTTAAATCGCTGAACCTAGTGCACTCGCTGATGCTGAGTTCCCGGAGGCGTGGAAGTATTTCTCCTATACTGTGTGGAAGCTGGGTAAGGCTATAGCAGTAAGTAAGCTGCAATCGTTTCAAAGTCCTGTATTGAAAATTCGGACAAAAAAAATTGCTAAACACAGGCAATAGTATGAGTTTCAGTGACTGGAGAAAAGGCAGCTGTGTGAGTGAGAAGCCAGGTGTATCTCCTGGCAAAACGGCAATATCAGGAAGATAGAGGCAGGTGAGGTTGGTGAGGTGAAGGATGCTGGATAGCTGGTCACTAGAAACTCTAAAGGTTTCAAAGGAGAGTGCAGTGAGAGAGAGAAGTGAGCTAAGTTTTGGAGAGGTTACGATGGACTCTTGATTTTTCAAGAAGAGAATGCGCAACGGCAGCTGAAAGAGAGAAGACGGTGGATCAACAAAGTCCTCGAGCCAATACAGCGACAGCTGCTCCAGTTGAGGGCAGTGACGGGCGAGATGATCCAAGCCATATCCGTCTATCAGGCGGTCGGCCCTCCTTCCATGTCGTTTCTTATCGGTAGATAGTTTAATTTCCCCCACATGAAGCGCTCTAAGTCCAGAGCACGAAGAAGCGAGATCAACAAGAAACGTGTTGTCCAGAGCTTCAACACTTCTATTTGAGAGGTGCAGATGGGTCAGATTGGGAAAGCACGTGACGGCGTTGAGGAGATCCTGACGAGAAACGACGAGGTCTTCCTTGACTAGGAGCGATGTGACATGGCTCTTAGCTAGACGCCGCCAGCGACGGCAGATGGACGCGATTAAAAGGCTATGAGCGGCATCTGCGGAGGCAGGAGAGATCGGCATCGGAGTGTCAGTTAGGCCGTAAAAGCGCTCTTCTGGCGTAGCGTCCCTGTAGCTGTAGAGAAGATTAGACCTAGGCGCCGTGACAAAGTTCCACAGATCATCGCTGTCTGATGACTGACTGCTGCACGAAATGACTGACTGCTTGGAAGAAATGACTGACTGTTCGGAAGGCCACAAAATCCTGATGAGCACGTCGTCGAGGAGATCGTGGATGTGGGTTTCATTACTAGAGTCCATGATAACAGCCATGTGCACCAACTGGCAGCTTAGGTGAAGCTGAGGTCTAAATGGATTGAACCACGAGAGTATGATAGAATCATACCTTGAAATACACGAGCATAAGCTAGTGCAGGCAACTTAAGATCAGCTTTGTGTGTTCTTCATGACTAAGACAGCCACAGCTAAAAGCGAATGTTGCTGTGTATCTCAGAGCTGACAAAATGCTTAGGGCGCGTCAGATCCGTTACAAGGTGATTTGGCCGGAATTTGGTCGACAATTTGGTCGACTATATCTTTCGCCAAAGTCGACAACATGGTCGACTTCAATAACGACCAATATCCGGCCACATTTACAGGGCCGAAAAATCTGACACATTTGGTGGCCGATTTGATGGCCGCTTTGCTAATGTGTCAGATTTGCAGTTCGCCAGGGTCGCTGGATTGTGCGACGGAATCGCAGATGCGGTACTTGTGTGACACGTTGCGTCGCACGAGTTGGCGACGTCGCGTAGTGACTGTAGCGATCTCAGGTCGACAAATTGGTCGACTTTCGAGTCGACTGCACGTCGGAACTTTGTCGAATGCTGAACCGGCCATCAAAATTTTTACAAATGGCCGGATTTGGCGAACTCTCCGAAGATCTTTGCGGATGTCGCGAATGTGTTACCTTCGCTAATTCCGGCCGGCCGGATTATTCCGACAACGGATCTGACGCACCCTTAGCTAGATCTGTGCAGTCAGCAGCTGCAATTTCGAGTCTAGATGTGGCTTGACTACGTCGCAGCTCGCACTTGCGTCCAGGGAGTACATCCGAATGCGTTTGAAAAGGGTTTCGATCTGATCAAGAGCGGTCTAATTAAAAATACAGATGGTTAGGTAGGGTTTTCTGCGAATACGTACACTGTTTGACCCGCCCTAATGCTGCAGGAGGGAGAAAGGCTTCAGCATTCTGATGACGAGGGCTTGCGCGGGTTGCCTTGCCTTGCCTGCGCCGATCATTCTTCGCACGGCCCCTTCCGCCAAACCTGCTCCAGCCATTATGGCCCTGTTCGACAGGCTAACACTCTGCAAAAGGCGGGTGTTAGGCTAGTGTTAAGAAGAGGGTTCAGAGCAACTTCTCGAGCTGATCGACCGCCTAAACCAATCGGTAGCTTCGCCCTTAGCAATCGGAAGGAGCCGGGCCCACAAGGCGAAGCTGCCCACCCCTTTCAACCTAGGTCATCGCGGGCACAGTAGAAAACTTTGGGCCGCTCGCCAAAGGGGTCTGGGTAACAACGCCGGAAAAAAAAGGCCTTCCCCACAAATCGCTCGCCTCACAAGAAAGTTTTTTAGGGTATGGAAGAATTGTTTCAACCAAACTGGTTCACAAGGGTTAGTTTAGGGTACACGGAGTGGGTGTTCCTCCCACTGGAAACACTTGACGAGCCCTTTGGCAAACCCCACTTTTGGGGGGCGAGGGTTAGGCTAGGCGAGGGCTAGACCTTCGCCCGTGCGGGAAGGCACCTGGTTCTTTCTGTGAGGGCGAAGGGGTCGTTTATCGGCTGCGTTCGACAGGCTAACACCCTGCCAACAGGTTAACAAGTGTTAAATCCCCAGTTGCCCATTTCACGGGCTGACCGTGGGAAAAAATGAGAAAACGAAACAGCTGCGATGATTCTGCAGCTGTCGGTGTTAGCCTGTCGAACAGGGCCTATATGTTGTGTTGCTAACCAAAACTTGGTTGCAGCATGGTTCGGTGCGGTTGGAGAGTGCGACCACAGCACAAACACCAACGTTCGTTCTCAAGGCAGGCCTGGGAAATAATTAAGCGACGCGACGACTCCCAAATTTTGTTCAATTCTGTCGACTAGCCTCGCTCCACGCTCCCCCTTTTTTCATTTTTCTCAATCCCATGGAGCGTAACTTGCTCTACACCTGAAAATACGGTTTAGTCACTCTGCGTATACTCTTCAAAAGTTTCAGATCCCTTTGATTTCTTGCTTTTGTGTGAGAACAAATCTGACGTTATCCAGATGCAATAATTGCAACCCATTAGTACGAGTTGTCATTTTGAGCAGTTGCATTTATGATACGGAGTGGCCGTACTGACGTGTTGCGTAGATACTTCAGGGCTGGAATGATTCAAAAAATGCAAAATCGTAGAGACAATTACAGTGTATATCAGGACCAACCATAGTGAGACAACTAGACGCTTGCATCAGACTAGACAACAATATAGCGTGGACTACAACTTTCAGATTTAGCAAAAAAAAAAATCAACCCACAAATTCACAGGCATATCAAACAGGTTTTGCGTTTTGTCTCAAAAAGTGCGATTTTGCAAAATTATATAGCAAAAATACAGAGTATTTCTCATTAATTAATTATTTTAGAAGTTTTCGAAAGTATATTTTAGTATGTTTTCAAATTTTCCAATATTAATAAAAAATCAATGTCTAATATGTCAAATTTAATTCATATTACGCCTTACATAACATTGTAGCCTAGAAAAACAAATAGCTTAAAGGTTGTTACGTATTCAGGGTAAACCATGCCTCGCTAAAAAAAAATGTGTCGTCCAACAAATTCGACACAAACTCTATCGAGAGTTGTTCTCCGTTTATCGCAAAAGCGCATGTAGAAGTCCATGGGATTTAGAAATATCAAAATTCGGGTAGCGCTGTGCGAGGGTAGTCGACAGGATTGAGAAAAAATCGAGAATCGTCGCGTCGCGCGATTATTTCCAGGCCTGGGCTGGTTTTGTATGTTCGCCCAATCATCCCCCTCTCCCCTCTTTCCCTCCCTCCCCCCTCCAAACCTTTGTCCGCACGTTGCTCGCGAGCAGTGCAAATCCGGTAACACCGAAGCACAAAAGATTCATTGTCAGCCCAGCAGTCCGTCTTGCAGCGGAAAGAAGCAGCTTTAGGGTTTCATTTTGTAACTTCAACCAATCAGTGAGGCTTCATTTTAGTCCGTTTCATCGTCCTGTCAGCAATGGCGATGTCCATCGCCGTGCCACTCGCCCACACCTGTCGCCATCGCTCTTTCAGTCGCGCCTCTCATCGCGGCGTGCCGCATCCCGCCCGTATCTTGTCGTCGCTTTCTGTTCCGGGCGATCGCTAGCCGTCCGATGCCGCCGCCAATCGCAGCAAGCTGTTTCCTTGCCACAGCCGGGCCCGGCGTCTAGTGGGTCCGTGCGGGCAGCGGCGACGGCGGAGGAGGGGAAGGATGGGGAGGAGCAGCTGTCGGCGGAGGAGGCGGAGGAGGCGGAGGTCCTGAGGGACATTCAAGACATCCTCGAGGTGATTCGCGCTCGCTTAGGCCGTTCGCGAAATTCTCGACATTCGCAACATTCTCGACACTCGCGACTCGTGCCATTTGGTGTTGCTGCGAGCGTAGATATTGACGAAGGATGGGATTACGAGTGCAGGGTCGTGCCTAAGGGATCTCAGTTGAAGCCTCCTTAGTGGCGCCCTCAGCTGAGCCCCTCAGGCCTCCAACCGCCTCCAACCGTTGTTATTCCTGTCCGCACCGAATAATCGTTCTCGCCACTTATATCGTTCCGGTTTGTCGCATGCCTCAAGCCTAACTCGCATCCATTCCTGTGCCTGTGCATGTGTGCGTGCGGTGTGCGGCGTGCGGCGTGGCAGACCATCGAGTTGCTCAAGGAGCGTCGCGACATGACGGTGCAGGAGGTGCGTGTATTAGCCTTGTGAGTTCACCCATGAAGAAACGAAAAGCTGCAACAGCCGTCTAGAAGAAACTTTAGCTTTCGAGCATGAATTTCGTACCCTGCGTCGCGAGAGGTGCACGCGATCTCGCTACGCGCTCCGTGTCGCCTTCTTTATCTGTGTTTTGTTCGACATTGTCCGTCAGTGCCCGTCATTGTCCGTCAATGTCAGCCGTTCGCACGCTTCGCCCACCTACCTGCTGTCCTGTTTTCGCTGTTCCCCCCCCTTCCCTCGCCCCCCTGCCGCACGCCATTTTCTGCATGCCTGCCGCCCGCGCTAATGTGACGTCACGCAGATCCGGCTGGTGCTGATGATCGAGGACCCGCGCGAGGCAGAGCGGCGGCGGCAGATGGGCATCGAGAACGAAAGCGACGAGAGGAGACGAGATCGCTGGCGCGTTCTTTGAGGTACAATGAGAGGGGGAAAGGGGAGAGGTGGGGCGGTAGGGAGGGGAAGAGGTGGGGGAGAGGACGGGGAGACGGCCGGGAGAGGGTGGGGATAGTGGGGAGAGAGGTGGGGGGGGAATAGGAGGGGGAGGGGGGGGTGGAGAGGGGGGAGGGAGAGGGGGGGAAGAGGGGGGAGGGAGAGGGGGGGAAGAGGGAGGAGGGAGAGGGGGGGAAGAGGGGGGGAAGAGGGGGGAGGGAGAGGGGGGGAAGAGGGGGGAGGGAGAGGGGGGGAAGGGGGGGTAAGGAGAGGGGGGGAAGAGGGGGGAGGGAGAGGGGGGGAAGAGGGGGGAGGGAGAGGGGGGGAAGAGGGGGGAGGGAGAGGGGGGGGAGAGGGGGGAGGAAGAGAGGGGGGAGAGGGGGGAGGGAGAGGGGGGGGAGAGGGGGGAGGGAGACGCCTTCCTCGAGGTGGGGCGGGGGACGTCTATCACTCCCCATCCCCTCCTTCCCCACTTGCCACGCAGCTCAATCTACCACTGTGTTGCACTGCTACTACTGCTGCTGTTCGTGGTAGCCCTACTGCTGGTCCACGCAGCCGTGGAGGCAGGAAGAACGGAAATACTGATACGTTGATGGACATTTTCCATGTAAGGCTGGCTCTTAACGTACTTCGTCTGCTTTTATCGGGTAAGTAAGAATTGAGTCACGTGCATTTGGTTCGTATCTTAAATTTCTGATTCTTATCAGGTGTATCTGTTTTCCCTTCAGTGTTCCCCCCACTCTGTTCTCCTTCCACTCGTCGTTCCTCCCCCTATTCCATATCCTCCTCATCCCCCTTTCGTCGAGTTCAACAAGAATGCAAGGCATGACATGCACCCACTGACACCATTCTGCACCATGCGGCATCTCCCGAATTTCCGTCAACCAATGCCAAACCACCTTTCAGCTCATCCCCTCCCACTCCCTTTACTGAAAATCTTCCACACAACACCATATCGCCGTCAGATCTTCCCTCCTCGACCTTCGGCTTCCTGACATTCTCACAGCCCCACCACTGCCTGCCCCCTAAGCTCCTATGAAGGCATTGATTCCACCGTATGGTGGACGAAACTTATATTGAGAAAGCTTGCTTTCTGTTCTTGCAATGGCAACGTGCTTCATTAGAATTGCAGTAATTACAGCATTCTCGTCCAACCATAAATCATACATGTAAATGATCAGGGTGGGTGGGTGGGGAGAGGAACTGCAAAGTTCCAAAATGAAGACGTGGGTGGAGGCCGAATGGCCTCCAACCCTCTTATATATTCGGCGAGTGGTAATTCGCAGTTGCCTTGCTGCGCTACAGTCAGCTGCGCTTTCACAATACACGTTTTTAGAAAGTGTTACACACTTTCGAAAAAAATCATATTGAGAAATTATAAATTTTAACACACATTGTGTTTTTAAAATTGTGTATTGTGAAAGCGAAGCTGCTTGTACTGCACATTTGGCATCGTCGAAGCGCGCTAAACGCCCTTCTCCAACTACAAAAACCGTGGGTTGGAGCTATGAGAACGATGCCAAATGATAAAAACAAGAAAGCAAGCTTTCTCAATAGCTTGCTTTCTGTTCTTGCAATGGCAACGTGCTTCATTAGAATTGGGTCGTCTGAGACATGTGTGGTTGGGGACGTTGAGGACGTGTAGTTGCGATTGATGGCGTCGACGAAGTGCTGAGAGGGGTGCCGTTTGTAATTGCGCTCTCCGTGTTGATAGGGTTCGGAATGTTGTGCATGGAGATTGCTCGTTCCCTGGGTGTGGTGGATGTCCTGGTTGTTGGTGCGGCAGTAGAGTAGAGTGTGTTGAACTGGTGGTAGTTGGTGTTTTCGGGCGTGTCCGAAGTGACCATGTAGCTGGATGTCGGTGCATGTCAGCCCTCGATGAATAATTGCGACCGTCAGGATTCGCCGACATCTGTTGTTCACTGTTGAGGATGCGAACGAGCTGACGGATGGATAACAAAGCACGATAACATGCGAGTGATTTCTATATGACGGATTGAGCGGCAACTGCATTTTTTCTGAATGAGTTTTAGTGTCATGAGCTGCCTTTCATGTTCGCAGGTGTTCGCTGGAACACACCAAAGGACAAAACTCCCACGGAAGGAAGGATGCCAACTGGCGCACAACCATTAGGAAGAGAAATCGCAACTAGGGAAGGAGGTTGGGTAGCTTGGGATGGGTGTAGTCTGAGGCGTAAGGGATGTGCTAGGAAGAGTACTATATGAACGCTAGTCAAATATATCGACCGTTAGGAAATTTCATCCATGCCATCATTTGGAATATGGATTTCGTTTCACAAAAACGATAAGTTCTTGTATAGCAACGCTCTTTCAACCGAACACTCGCTTGTCTCCGTTGCCCTAAGAGTATCATGGCCGATATCTTCAGTCGTTGACTAGAGCTCGATGCATCCCTATAGTTCTTTATGTAGAGTACCGCAACGCAGATCTTGGTGTGTCAAATGGTATGAGGATCTGACCATCAACGGGTTGACCCGTTGTAGAAATAACAGTTACTGACTGAAGTATCCGCAGCTGATGGGGATGAGGATGGGAGAGAGGAAGGGGACGGGTGGCCAACGGGAGAGAATGGAGAGTTGGGTGAAGGATAGACGGTACTGGCTGGAGAGTGACCTGAGAGTGACCTGAGAGTGACCTGAGACATTCCTGAGAGTGACCTGAGGGTGTCCTGAGAGTGACCTGAGAGTGACAAACTGGTAACGGATAAGGAGCCCAGCCTACGTCCCGTCTCCCTCACACCACGCACCCCCTTCTACCGCTGCTTGTCCTCCAGAAGACATCACCACCTTCAAAGCATGCAGGACCCCCTCCCAGCCTCGCCCCACATGCGACCCACCACCAGCCACTCATGAGCATCAGGAAGCCCACTACCCCTGAGTCACTCACAACGCACACCTCCTTCTCCCTCTGCTCGTACTTGCCTTGCTCAAAAAGCGGCCACAGGGCACCCAGCGGCCCAGCCTGGCCAGCCCCAACCAGCCCCAACCAGTTCAACCCAGCCCCACACAGCCCCACCTAGCCCCAACAGCACACCCAGCCTCGCCCAGTCTCGCCCACCACCATGAAACATAGCACCACACACCTCCTTCTCCCTCTCCCTCTGCTCATTCCTCCTCAAGCGCCACCACGAAGCACCCAGCAGCCCAGCCCCACCCAGCTTTGCCTCCCAGCCTCTCCCACGCATCCACCACATCAGCGGCCCACCGGTTACCCGTGAACATGCACCCGCGCCTTGATTACAGCAGTCCGTGGGGCGGCGGAAGTCGGATTGGGAGAAGCAGGTGCGGAGCTGAGGGGGGGAGGGGAAGGGGGAGAGGGCTTAAAGGGTAATGAGTGAGTGGTGGGCGAGACTGGGCGAGGCTGGGTGGTGGGGTTGGTGGGGCTGGGAGGCCGCCAAGTACTACTAGGTTGGCGTCACGAGGAGGAACCTGCACATCCCACTCCTTAGCCACTGTGCAGGTTCAAGAATGTGCAGGTCCCTCGTGAGTGACGCCAACCTAATACATGAAAAGAGTTCAAAGCCTCAGCAGCCCGCAGGTTCCCCGCGATGAATAGTGCGGCGATGTCGCAAGGTCAGGGATTCATAGGCCAGAACTCGGTGCAGGATAAGCAAGCAGGTGCACCGCGGAGGTGGGAATTCATGGGGGATAAGCAGGATAAGCAGGTTGTAAGACGGCGGACGCGTGACGGGAGGTGGGCAGGCGAGAGGAATGGTCAGTGCAGTGCGACGGCCACCGCAGGGGGAGGCAGGAATCCGTGGCGCAGACAGCAGATTAGGAGCACCAGGTGAGGAGCTCGGGGGGATGGCTGGGGATGGGAGTGGAAGGGAGAGGGCATGGTGAGGAGAAGGTACTGCGCATGGGTGAGAGCACTGCAGCGCCCGCCGCAGGGGGAGGAAGCTGTGGGCAAAAATTGGCGTAGGAGAAGCGATGCGGAGCTGGGAGAGGCGGGGAAAGGGGGGGTTGGGGAGAGGTTAAGGGGAAGGGAGTGGATGGTGCCTGAGTGAACAGTGCATCCGCACTGTGGGAGGGGGGTCTGTGGGCTAGACGTGGGTGTGGATCTGGGATGGGTGGGAAGCGAGGAGGAAAGCGGTGAGGAAGGGAGGGGGTGAGGGGTGAGCAAGGGGTCGGAAATGGAGGAGGAGAGGAGTAGGGTGGGGAACGGAGGGGAAAAGGGTGGGGAAGTGAGGGGGAAAGGGGTAGGGAAGGGACGACAAACAGCAATGGCTTATGAGACGCAGGGGCCAGAAGTCGGTATAGGAGACGCAGATACAGGGCTAGGAAGACGCTGGACGCGTCTTGCGTCTAGCGTCTAGACGCAGCGTCTAGACGCGAGACGCAAGACGCAGATTTAGACGCAAGACGCATGGGTATTTTTTTTTCGGGCAGCCCGAAAAAAAAATTCCGCACGCGAAATTGAATTTCGCCATTTCGACGCGAAATTCAATTTCGCGCTATTCAAACCCCTTCCCACCCATTTCGACCCCATAAACCAGCCCCCCAAGCAAATTTGAAACCTCCCCCACCACAATTGAACACAAACCACTCTTCACCACTCATTATCTACAGAACCCAACCTCTATGGTTAACCACAAAGAGGTTGGGGAGCACAAACCCCTCATTTGTGCTCCCCAACCTTCATTTCTTTCAAATCTCTTTCGAAAACCCTTAGGGTTTAGCTCTTTCCACCGCGCGCGCAACCATGTCTTCTAGTAGTAGCCCTTCGTCTAGGAGTTCCTCCTCCGCGAGCGAGAATGCCGTCGGCGAGGGTCTTTCCGCTCGTGTTTCTCAGGAAATGGAAGGGATTGAGAAGAAGTCTAAGCATCCCGAGCACCCGATCTACAAGCACTACTATTTTTTTACGGACCCGAAGAAGAAGGGCGAGCAAGTCGAGTGTCTATTTTGCCACAAGAAGTTTTCGTTTAGTAGTAGCCACACTCCCGAGCATCTCGCCGAGTGGTACGACCCGCACCGGCGCCGCGAGGCGGGAGTCGTTTGCAAGGATGTGCCGAAGGAGATTTCCTCGGAGATTCGCGAGATCTTCGAGGCGAAGATTCGGGCGCGCAACCAAAAGGCGCGGGCGACGAGTTCGGCGGTCGCGGCGGTGAGCGGCAAGAGCGAGGCGAAAGGGAAGGCGAAGCGCGGTCGCATGGATGACTTTTACGGCGAGGGTGGACTCGCGGCAAGGCGGGCGGCCAACGAGGCGATTGTCCTCTACCTCGCGGGGACGCGCACGCCGGAGTCTCAGTGCGAGCACCCGCTCTTCCTCAACATGCTGCGAGCCGTCACCGCTGCCGGCCCAAACTACGTCCCCCCCACGCGGCACTACGTCGGAGGCGCCGGCCTGCTTGAGTGCAAGCAGCGGATTGAGAAGGCGTTGTCGGTGGTTACGAAGTCGTGGACGGAGACGGGCGTGACGATCGCCAGCGACATGATGCAAGACAAGAGCGGTCGCGCGCAGATGAACATCATCTGCATCAACGACACTGGAGCGGTCTTCGTTGAGGCGGTCGATTGCAAGTCGGTGACGAAGAGTGGCAAGTTCATCGCCAGCGTACTGCGGCCGATCATCGAGCGCATCGGGGCGGAGCATGTCGTGGCGCTGTGCACGGACGGCGACAGCAACTACAAAGCTGCTGGCAAGCTGCTGCGGAAGGAGTGGCCGCATCTCGAGCTCGTTCCCTGCGCGACGCACGTGCTGGACCTGCTGATGGCGGACGTCGGCAAGATGGACTGGGCGCAGGTGGTCGTGACCCAGGCTGACAACATGATCCTCTTCGTGCGCGGGCACCAGTGGACTTGCGCCTTCATGCGCGACCCGGAGCTGCACGGCGAGAAGAAATCGCTGCAGGTGTTGCGCCCAACAGGCACGCGCTTTGGAACACAGTTCATTGCAGTGTCTCGTCTGCGCGACGTTCGCCAGCAGCTCACGGCGATGGTGACGCACAAGGATTGGCCGGAGAGGGGAGGGAGCACGCTTACAGGAGCGGATTTTGAGGGTTGGGTGATGGACCAGGCGTGGTGGAAGAAGGTGGACGTCTTTCTGCAGGTGATGGAGCTGTTCTACAACGTGATGCGGAGGACGGATTCAGCGGCGAAGGGGATGATGGGCCAGCTATACGACATCATGCTGCAGCTGACGGAGGAGATGGATAAGCTGCTGGAGGGGAAGGAGTGCAAGCTGAGCAGGACGGATAAGGAGAAGGTGCGGGAGCATTTGAGGAGGCGTTGGGACGAAAGCCTGGCTTACCCCCTCCACGTGGCAGGCCGGATCTTGTACCCGGCGAACCAGGAGGAGAGGATATTTCTACAGGATGCAGAGTGCACCAAGGTCATGCAGGAGTGGCTGGAGCGACAGAAGGCGTTCGTCGACAGGTACTGGAAGAAGAGCCGCGGCAAGAAGGGACCGGTGAGGCCGCTGCATGAGGGGGTGACGGCCTACCTCAACGGCGAAGGAGGATTCGGCACACAGACCGCGATCGATGGGCGTGGGGAGATTCAGCTGGGGAAGGGGAACGTGATGTTGTGGTGGCAGTACAATGGATGGGAGTACGCCGACCTGGCGCGCATTGCGCGGCGCACGCTGTCCCAGGCCATTTCCGCTTCCCCGTGCGAGCGGGGCTGGTCTACATGGGATGGCATGCACACGGCGCGCAGGAACCGGCTCGGGTCGGCGAAAGTGCGCGACCTTGTGTACGTTGCGCACAACTGGAATGTTGTGCACAACTTCCACAAGGATGCAGAAGCGGGGCCTAGTGTGGTGGGGAGGAAGGGTGCAGTGGTGGAGGGGAACATTCCCCCCCCTCCCATCCCCGAGGGGTACAAGTTGGAGGAGGATGGGGAGGTGGAGGCGGACGAGGACGACGTGTGCCTCGATGAGTGGGCGGAGCAGGAGGAGCTGGAGAAGGAAGGGGAGGAGGAGGAGGAGGAGGAGGAGGAGGAGGAGGAGGAGGAGGAGGAGGAGGAGGAGAAGGAGGAGGAGGAGGAGGAGGAGGAGGAGGATGAGGAGGAGGAGAGCTAGGAGGCATAGTGATTGCTGAGATATGTAGTAGTAGTAATGTATTTCGAGTTTGCTACTACTAGAGAGACATGGAAGGTTAACTATATAAGATGATATGTGATCATTTTTGTGAAGTCTAAGAATGGGGGAAAAATTATGGTACGGGGAAAAATTCACCCCTTTGTGACATAGGTGCATGTTCCCCACCCTCCCCATGCCCCTTAGCACTTTTTTTGGTCTGCCCGAACTTTTTATTTAGGCCTGCCCGGGTTTTCGTCTAGTACTGCGCCTAATCCAGCCTCACTAGCGTCTAGCGTCTTAGACGCTGCGTCTAGACGGACGCGTCTAAGACGCTAGACGCGTCTTCCGCAACTTAGCTCTATGGCCGAGGGGCCCAGGGCTGGCCGACTAGCTCCACACATCCTCACAGCGACCTCATCCCTGGCACGGCACCCTTAGGGAGAACCGCCACAGATCTGATAGTCAGCTCGACGATATCGCGTTCCCGCAATTTGGTTGCGAAGATCTTGAATCGCCCATGTCCTCTTACTTGATAATGATCGTGCGCAGGTAGCCAAGCCAACGTTTGGTTGGACACTCGCCTCACCAACACATACCCATCTCTCAACGTGGCGACATCCAGCTTGTCGACGGCACACCGCCCATCGCTGGTAACGCCAAACGAATCCTCCGCGGGCCCCATTAGCAGCCCATCCTTCACCACTTTCTCTTCCTCCTTCCCGCCCTCCTCCCGCACTCCCGACCGCCGCCACTGCTGCCCAGCACCGCTTGCACAGGTTGGCGGTGCCCCTGCCGCCCGTCTCGCCGCCTGGCACAGCGCACGCTGCCTCCGCCATTCTCCTCCCTCTCCTCTTTCTCTTCTCTTTCCCAATCCCGTTACCCATATCCTTCTCCCGTTGTGCTTCCACAAGGTCACTGATCTTGCCAACATCTCACCTAATCATCTCGCAGAACCAGCGGTTTCACTCTCGGTCTCCAAGCTGCCAGCAGAAGACCCATCCTTTTACTCGCAACCTCGCGAACACGGATTGCTGCCAGTCTCTCCCCGTAGTCATGACCACAATCAGTTGAAAATCTGCGTATGTGCGAACAGGACCAATAAGAAATCAGAATCTGCAATCAGGAAGGAAGGCATGTAATGTAATACTCGTAACATGGGCTAGAAAAACTGTAGGCGGATTAAAGATGAGGTCACACCACGACACTCCTATCGAGGTTACCATGCCATCACGAGGAGCAGGAGGCTTGAGCAGCAGGCTTACGGGTCTGAGGCAATTGCACGCCGCCAGTCTAGGACTTTAAAAGAGCCGCCATGGTTTCTCAAGCGGAGCATTGACGGCGGAAATGCACGCCGAGGTGGTCGGATTGATCAAATCTCCGACCGACGCGAATGGCGATTCACCTGAACAGGCGACAGCGACCGACAAGAGAAGACCTGTGACCTTTGCCGTTCTGTTTGTGAGGGAACTAGAACAGGCGGAAATGGCATTTGGTGAAACTACGAATCCCCGTGCACCGGGATTGATCCCAGTCGCAGCAAGGAATGCGACAGGCAGCAGCAGCGTCGACTCAAGGCACCGCCGAGAAAGAAGGAAATCGAGGCGTATGAGAACAAAACGCGATACGGAACTTGGGAGCGACTCTCTTGCTGCTGAGAACGGTCTGTCGCATCGTTTGCGCGACAGAGAACTCCGCCGCGCGCGGCCTTAAGGTATGCGATACCGCGTGAATCTGCTCTAGGGTAATAACCAACGGCTTCCTAGCTGCTAGTGGCGGAGCTGATTCGATACTACAAAGGCCCATACATGACATATGTCTCTTCGACAGAAGAAGATCAATGCCGCCATCACTATCGCTTATATTAATACATAAACTATTCTCGTCGTTGCGCGCGAGTTTTATTGAGGAACAAGAACTTTCTGAGCTGAAGTTAGGTAAGGTGGAACAACTGGTGTGCCAATGTCGAGAATAATGGAACTATCAGATCCCGGTACCTGATCTAGTTTCGTAAAATACCAAGTGCCCTCGATTTGAACTTCTCTCGTTCAAAATGTTTTGTGCGACCAGATGCGGCGGCAACGACGACGTTCTCCCACTGGGTTACAGAAAATAGTGTTCGTCACAGAAACACGAAACGCACGACAATGCACTGGTTACCAAAAAAAAATATCAGCGAAGCCTTGGCGAGGAGGGTGGAAGCTTCATCGGTATCGCTTCGAATCGGGCTAGGCTTACTGTCCCAGCTTGGCTTTCCTGTGACCCCAAGGCCGTTGCTGGTTTGCTTGCGCTGGTTTTCAAACACGCCCCCCATCTTGGTACTTCCATGCCCTTCGATGCCCTCCCACTCACCAGTCTCACAGTAGTATCCCCATTCCACCATTGTATTCGGGCGGAGGAGGTGCGTGGAGTTCGATCGTACGCCACGGTGGGAGCAACATGTCGTGCGACGCTAGAGTCCTTCCGCGCTGCGCCAGTACAGTATGGTGTTCCGCTTTCCTCGCTTTCGCGCACCGTTTTGATGCTCGCAACCGTTACTTCCGTTCGTGACGCCGCCTCTTAACATTAGATTCGTTAGCACATTTTTAGACGTACCTATCTCAGATTTTCGGAATGCATCGGACGATCCATAGTCTACCTGACGAGCTCCTCGTTAAGATCTTTACGCATTCCTTTGAGCAACCAGCTCCATGCGAATCCCACTTGGACACCTCGTGGGTCACCTACGTTTGGCCAGGTCCCGTTATTGAGCAAGTTAAGCGCAGCACATTTCCGATAGTCCCGCCGGTATCAACCCCGCCTCCGGTTGCCAACGTGGCTTGGATTTTCCTCATCGCGTCCGTCTGTCGTCGTTGGCGTCGCCTGGCGAAGCTTCATGTTACCACGCTTTTTGTGAAAGAGGAACTCCTGGTGTCTCTCGAAGATCTCTCAGCCGCCGTCGCGCGCTTCCCCAACCTCACCCATCTGCACCTCAGCGACAACAGCGTCGAATCCCTTGACGATGCCTTCCTCGCTCACCTCGCGGCGTCATGCCCGAAGCTGACGACTCTCCACGTGGGGAAGAGCTTTGCGCGGCCATGGAACCCTCGAGATGCGGACCCCGAAATTGACAGCTACGAGCATTATCGTAAGAGGGACAGGCATCCAGTAACCACGGATGGCTTGGATTGGTTTATCCGAAAGCTCCCTAACTTGGAGCAGCTTTCCCTCTTCTGCCTTCACCGACCGACACAGTTACCAGATTCCATCTTTCAACTGAGACGTCTGCGCACGCTTGTTGTGAACAGCGTTTCTGACTTGAAGAATCCCAGGCTCATAAGCCTCACTGCTCTGACCAACCTCTGTGCCACCGTCTCCATGAATCGTCTGTACATCCCACATTACACCGATCTCTTCACCTTCGCCCGTCAAGGACCCCATGAATCGGCCCGTCTTGCCAGCGTCACGCTGCCCCCTTGCCTAAAATCGCTCAATTTCCTCGTTGCCTGTCCTCGCTGGGATGCCATCTTCCCATCAGCATCGCCCCTCACCGGGCTAGAGGAGCTGCTCCTCACCGACTGCAGCGGGCTGGAAAGCCTTCCTGACGGCATTGATGTGTTGCTGCCGTGCCTTCGCAAGCTGTCCATTCGCAAGTGTCAGTCGCTCTCCCACCTGCCTGAAAGCCTCACTTGTCTGAGCCAATTGGAAACCCTCATCATCTCTAGTTCTCACAGGTTCACCTTACCCACCAACCTCGGTCGCCTTCCTGCCCTCAAACTGCTGGTGCTAGAACTTTTGTCAGTCTCAGAACTTCCTCCTTCTTTCTGCCATCTGACATCTCTAGAGGCACTGTTCTTGCTTGATTGCTACTCCTTTGGGGGCCTGCCAGAAGGTTTCTGCCGCCTCACAGCTCTCAGGGTGCTCTGCTTTGCAAGTGCCGGGGGTCTTGCCTTGCCAGAGGACGTTGGGGCTCTTGCAAGTCTGGAGGATCTCAGATTGTGCGATTGCCAGCCGCAGCCGCTTCCAACTTCATTCGCTGACCTGTCTTCTTTGACAAGCCTTGAGCTGAATGCATGTGGCTTTGAGGCCGAGCTTCCAGACGCCCTGGGCGACCTGAGCAGCCTACGAGAGTTGAAGATCATTGATGTTCTAGTCACCACACTTCCTAGATCACTCACAAAGCTCACTGCACTACAGACCTTGGAGGTTAGACACTGCCAGACACTCCTAGCAGTACCCGTGGGATTGGATAATCTCGTAAGACTCAAGTGGCTGGGGTTGAGAGAGTGCCGGCAGCTGATTCAACTCCCCGCTCGTTTGCCCCCCTCTCTTGAGACCCTCTGCTTGGGGCCCGCCTGGGAAGGCTCGTCCCATGTGGTGGACATCTTGCAGCTGTCGCAGCTGAGGGTGCTGAAGCTGAAGTGCGTTGGGGTGCAATGCAGTCCTGCAATGAGCAGGATGCTGACGTGCCTGCAGCAGATGAAGCAGCAGGTGGAGCAGCTGGAACAGCAGGGCGGAGGGCCAGAGATTCCACTTCCGCTATCTTCTCTTTCTCGCCTGCGCAGCTTGTTTAGTGAGCAGCTGGAGCTGCTGCAGCCGCCGGAGCAACTCGAGCAGGCGACGCAGCTGCAGCAGCTGGAGCAGCTGGAGATGCGCTTGGAAGGCGACAATCGGGAGCTTCAAGTCCCCCTCACCTGTCTCCCTTGCCTGCGCAGCTTGCTGATAGAGGCGCCGGGAATACTCAGCCTCCCGGAAAACATGGCAGCAGCATTGCCGCAGCTGCGGCAGCTGGAGATTCTTTCATGGTTACCGGAGGAGCTGCCTGGAGTTTTACTGGAGCTGCGGTCGCTGACGTCACTTGCTATTGAAGCGCCTCAGCTGGTGGCGCTACCTCAAGACTTGAGCCGCTTGTCTCGGCTGCGCAAATTGGAGCTGATTCGCTGCACCGCCTTGCAGCACCTTCCGGAGTTTGTCTCCCAGCTGCACCACCTGACACTGCGTGATACTTCCATCCCCTACCATCA